CCTGTTTTTTTCTCTCTCTCTCCCTCCCTTCCTCTCTCTCTCCCTTTTTTTCCTCTCTTTCTCTCCCTCCTTCCCTCATTTTTTTTCTCTCTTTTTCTCTCTCTCCCTCATTCTCTCCCTCTCTTTCTCTCTCTCTCCCGTTTTTTTTCTCTCTCTCATTCTCTCTCTTTTTCTTCCTTACTTTCTCTCTCTTTGTCCCTCTCTCCCTTTCCCTCAGGGCTGCAGCCTCCTTTAATCCCAAACCCTCAAACCTTCCCAAACCACCTGCCCCATTTCCCCCCTGACTCCTCTCAGGTGCCCTGAATTGCCAGAGGTGATGAGCCCAGCAGCCCCAGGGACTGGCAGGGCAATGCTTTTCCAGCCTGAATGATTCTGGGGTTCCAAGAGGTTCCTGGGGAGCAGAGGCACAGTGCAGGTGCCCAGATGTGAGTGCTGCTGCCCCAGGATGGCTCCAGCAGCTTTCACTGCACTCCCCAGCTTTGTGTACGTCTCTTGAAGCAGCCAAGTGCAGGGATTGCCTGGCACCCACCAGGAAATGGAGTTTGTGGAACAAGGGATGTGTGCAGGGCCATGAAGTGCTGCCTGTGCAGGGATTGCCTGCACCCATCAGGAAATGGAGTTTGTGCACCAAGGGATGTGTGCAGGGCCATGAAGCGCTGCCTGCCCAGCCCTGCCTCAGGGATTTCCTCTGCTGCACAGCCAGCAGGGCCTGTGTGACACCCAAAATCTGTCTGCACGTTTGGAAACCCTCCCCTGGCAGCAGGAAGCACTCAGGGATCCCATGGCAAACTGGCTGAGCTCTGTGCCCCACTGCCTTCACGTGGCACTGCGGGCCAGTGCCATTCACACACACAGAGCCAGAACATCCCTACAGCCCTGGGATGGCACAGAGCCACAGGGATGGCAGGGCTGGCACAGAAATGCTCTGGCTGTTCCTGTACACTCCCGAGGAGGGTGAAGGTCAGGGGTTACTGCAGCCCCTGGAAAGGTCCTTGCTGTCACCAGCTG